AACTAAAACTAACAGGTTAGTCTCAGCAGAAAACTGCCTCATTAACTAAAACTAACAGGTTAGTCTCAGCAGAAAACTGCCTCATTAACTAAAATTAACAGGTTAGTCTCAGCAGAAAACTACCCCATTAACTAAAATAACAGGTTAGTCTCAGCAGAAAACTACCCCATTAACTAAAATAACAGGTTAGTCTCAGCAGAAAACTACCCCATTAACTAAAATAACAGGTTAGTCTCAAATGTTTCAATCTTGTCCTGTCTTTGTTGTCTTGAAGTGACTTCATCTTAAGCATTTATTATCTGAGCTTGATTTAGCAAAACTCAATGTTTTTCGGTGTATTTCATTATTTAGTATACTTTTTCCTCTGAATTTAACCTCTTGATAAACTGACATCTGTGAGGTTTACTGGTGAGCATTATTAATATTGTTAAAACAACTGAAGTTATTGATTTTTTACTGTTGTGATGGGAAGTTTGATTGTTTTCAGAGAACCGGCTCTTTTGGCTCCCAAATGGCTTGTAATTTATTATTGTTTGCAGCCTCATATTTTAGCTCAACTTGGCAAATATGAAAACATTGAGACACAAAGCGTTCATATTTTCAGATGTGGCTCCACATTTGGTTGGGCTGATTGTAAAGGTGAAGCTGCTCAGGGCTTTGATGGATTAAAAGGGTGGATTTTGATTGTTGGCTGCTTCCATCACTGCCTTCCTTGTGCTGTCCCACTTCATAGAGCCAACAAAACCCTGTAAACACAGGCATCAKCACAGTATACAGCAGGATTCATTGTACTGTCATTTATTTTAACAGTATTGCTGTATATTGGATTAAAGGATTTGCATATCAGTTTACAAAATAAGATAAAATCTGCAAATTCCCATAAGTCCAACCAAATTTACACAAAAAATACAGATTCAATTTTATTCACAGAAGAAAAGAACATGTATCTTAAAGTCAAGTTTTAGTGAAATTATGACCCTAAAATCAGTCGTTGAATAAAAACTTCAATAACAGTATAAATTTCAGGCAGCAACAGTGTGATGCTAAAGAAAAACAACAGCAATGACAGGTTCAACTATAAGAGAAATGCATCACAGTCTAKCTTAGACACAAGTCTTTTGGGAGAGCATTAAGAAAGAGAAAACTTCAAAGTGTCTGGACTGCAACATTTGATTGATATCCACATGAATGATTAGGGCCTGTAAAAACAAACAACTTATAAAGATTGTTTTTTTCCACACATTGAAAAAATACTGTGTTTTGCTTTTAAAGGCACAGTGTGTAGGATTTGTTGTTTTCAGCGACATCTAGTGGTTGAGTGGTTGAGTCATCCTCCCTGGTCCTCCCCCCACCCCCACCCCCAATTCCAAACACAAAGGAGTTGCTATAGTGTCTCTCAGGTGTCAAAAACCTTTGATAATTCCAACCGCGATGTCTACCAGCAGCTTCAGCTTCAAATACACAAATTACTGTTACTGCTTAACCTACTAAATTAACCGTAAATTAACACTTGATGTAGTTATTTAACAGTCTCTTCTTGTTACAGCGAGGTGTGAAACTTTGGGCAGCCTTGTTAATTTTCCTGATTTACCTTTATAAGGCATTGACTGTTTGGATAAAAAAAATCWGTTAAAAATATCGCCTCCCTCGAATAACAAAAGGCAAGATTTTTGAGATATCAGGATCAAGTTTTTGGGCATGTTGTAAATCATCCAAAGTGAACATGGAAAGTGAATCTTGCCCTGGTGTGGCCAGATCTTGGATAGACTGAATTAGTGCTACTGCACGAATTTCGGTGACCAAATCCTATTGATCATGCATCTCCAAAAGAGCCTTGACTTCCACTGCATCACACTGGTAAGGTTGAGAACTACAATGGGGTTCTGGATCACAAGACGATTTCTTTACTTTTTGGCTCTGGGCCTTCAGGTGAAAAGTTTCTTGGACTCCCATCTTGACTAATACTATCAGCTTCAGTAAGGAGACGAGAGTAGCCCTCTGTGATGATCCGATGACTGACAGTTGTAGCAAATGGATCCCTGCTGAGTGTGTCAGCCACGGTGTTCTTCAACCCAGGTTTGTGGTTCAGATCAAAAGCAAAGGGCGCCAGCTTGGCATCCCAGCGCTGCTCACATGCATTGAGTTTTGGCTTTGTCATGATGTGGGTGAGCGGATTGTTATCAGTCCAAACTGTAAATGTCCGACCTCTTAACCAATGACTGAACTTCTCACATATACTCCATTTCAAAGCCAAAAATTCAGACCTGTGAGCTGGGTATTTCTTCTGAGAGCTACTAAGCATCTTGCTTGCAGATGCAATGGGGCGAGCCTTCTCTTCTCCAGCTGGTACTTGGGACAAGCCAGCTCCAAGCCCGTCCAGTGAAGCATCAATAGACAAAATCAGGGGCTGTGAAAAATCTGGGTGTGCAAGAACAACAAAATTTAGCAGTTTTTCTTTAAGACTAAATAAAGCTCTTTCACACTTCTCTGTCCAGTCAGATGGTCTCAGTTTTCTGTAAGAACCTGCCTTTGCTATTGTTTTTGCTCTGTCCTTTCTCTTCTGTCCGGCAGTTAGAGCAAACAGTGGCTTGGCTACAGATTAACAGCTTGGAATGAAATGATGGTAATAAAATACCATACCTAGGAAGGACTTTATCCTTTTGACTGAAGGTGTACATCCATCATCCTCCATCAGGTCAGCCTTTGTCATCTTTGTTATGACCTCAACCTTCCCAGAATCGACAGCCACTCCATTGCCATCACCTTAGCACCAACTGGTGCTGCTGCACATGCCTTTTCATATTGCTGCTCGATGCCGTTATTACTGAGGGTTTTTTTCTTTTGAGCCTACACCACCCCTCATCCCATGTAGGCCAGCTAGTTTAAAGGCTGGGGGTCTTATGACTTAGGACCATGCTCACCTCTGATAGATAGACGATTGGGACAGTCTCGTTTAATGTGATTTGGTTCAAAGCATGCTAAACACAAGCKTTTCTGTCTGCAGTGTGTGATGGTAGAATGATCCAGGGACTGACAAACCCTGCAGGCTTTGTGATGCACTTGGCTGGGTGAGTTCTGTCTGCCTGCAATCTGACTGTTCTGTGAGAGCGTACGTTCAAAGAGGCTGATTTAAGGTTTTCATGCAACTGTCATTACAATGTGATGGAAATGCTGTACCAGTCTCTTGGTGTGATGATATGTCAGGGTGACAGGATGATGGTAATTGTTCAGGAACAGGAGCCTGAACATGAACTGTAGCTAGTTTAGGATACCTTGACATAGAAAATGCCTGCTCTCTGGTTTCAATTTGGTAACGATCAATATGTTCCTGAATTTCACTGGCTGACCATTTTTCTGTTTCTTTGAACTTCAAAATGGTAGCAAGCCCCGGGTCTGGGCGATGTTTCACAAACATCATAGCTGCCTCTTGGCAAGGGTCATCTCTGTGCCGCCCTAATCTCTTCAAGCCCTCTTCTGCTGCATCAACTGCCTTGTTCAAATGTACCCAGTAATCTAGAGGTGTTTTCCTTGCTACAGGCACCRTGTTGTAAAAGTCGGCCATAGGCATACATGAATAGGGCACATCACTAAAATGTTGCCCGAGGATGCTGTAGACAACATCCAGGTTTTCTTGAGGCTTTAGAGAATGACTGCTTCGCAGTGTTATCCTCACAATATCCTTAGCTTTGCCCATCAACTTAGAAAGGATCTCTGGGTACTGTTCATCAGTGGGTGTGCCTCGTTTTCTAAAATAGATTTTCATTAACTCTTCCCACTTACAGACAGTGTTTTTGTCAGATCCTTCTCCTCTGAAGATTGGGGGTTCTTTGATGTCTGGCTGAATCAATAGTTCTGCCCCAGTCAAGTTAAGGTAACTGGGTTCACTCTGTGAGTGGCCCACGATGCCCTGAGCTTGTAGACACATATTTCTCCCTTCTCCACATTCACCCTTAAGACGGTCCATTATAGACTGTCCAATTTGCTGTGCAATGCTTGTAATAAGATCAATTAAAGGTGGGTCAACATTAGCTGAAATGTCTGAGACCACACCGCTTTGCACAAAACTAGAAGCTGCATTCTCAACTACACGTGTGGAACAAAAGGCTGCGAGCCTGTAATATTAGTGTTCCGAACTGGAGTAAAAGGCAAAGACTCAATGGGCCTCATGCAAGAACCATTCATACACACAGATTTGTTCTTAAGTTGTGCGTACGAGTGATTTAGGAGAATTTGTGGCATTCACCAATATTATTTTCAGATACGAACAAAATTCACGAGTGGTCCAGACCTGTCGTATATTTTACGAGCAGTCAGTCTGCTGT